AAAGAGAGAGAGGGGAGAGGAAAGGGAAAGGAAAGAGAGAGAGAGAGAAAGAGGAAAGAGAGGGAGAGGAAAGAGGCATAAAATAATTCATTTGCATTAAATTGTAATGGTTCAAAGAATGTTCGGAAAAATGTTCGGCCCTCCAGCACGTTCACTTCATCCAATCTGGCCCTCTTTGAAAAAAGTTTGGACACCCCTGGTGTAGGCAAAGCAGTATTCCAATATCTAAGAGGCTGCCACAAGAGCAAGTCAAACTATTCTCCAAAGCACCTGAAGGCAAGACAAGAAGTGAAGGATGGAAACTAATCAAGGAGAGAAGCAACCTGGAACTAAGGAGAAATTTCCTAAGAATTAGAACAATTAATCTGTGGAATGTGTCATGGCACCATTAGAACCCAGGTCCAAGGAGGAGAAGGAGATGGACGGGGATGATGCAGTCCCTATGGAATGACCTGAGAATGAGGATGAGGCAGTCCCAGGTCCCTCGGGCCTTGGAAGAGTGGGCAGGGTGCAGGCTGACCGAGGAAGTGGGGAGGAGATAGGGCAGGCTGCAGAGCAGAGGAGCACCAAAGATGAGCAAATGCATTCCCCACCCGATCCCTGAGTGCAAAGAATGGAGACAAGACAGAGTCAGTGCAGGGCGACCCATCTACTCAGGAGGTTCACCTGGATAGTAGAGTTTAAGGAGATGCTGAGGAGAGGCTTTAGCCAGGAATGTTTGTTTTCGGATTACACTCCCTCAGCTTTGACTGCTTTTGCTTTGCTTTGAAGACTGTTTTTGCTTTGCTTTGAGGACTGTTCTTGCCTTGCCCTAGCTCTGAAAATTCTCCCTTCAGACCTGCCTTGCCTTGGACCTTGTCTTGTTTTGAAAAGTGCTCTTTGCCTTTTGGTTTGAATTGTGCCCTTGTTTTGTGAACTGCATTTGCCTTTTGTTTCACTGTGCCATTTGGAAATTGCTCATTGTCTTGGACCTTTGTCTTGCTCTGAGGCCTGGACTTCTACCTTGGGGGCTTGCCAGGTAATCTATGACCTGTTGTTTGGAGGACTGAGAGTGGAGTCTGACTGGTTGGTGAAGAGCCATTTGTTTAACCCTTCCCAAGAGAAATAAATTCTCAAGAGGCTTGCCTAGTCTTACCCACCTGGGTCATAACAGAACTTGTCTCCAGAAATTGTGAATGCTCCATCACTGGAGGTTTTAAAGAAGAGATTGGACAACCATTTGTGCAAAATAGTATAGGGTTTCCTGCTCACGAAGGGTTTGGACTAGAAGACCTCCAAAGTCCCTTCCAACTTTATTATTCTGTTAATAGGCATAAGAACTGATTAGGTTACGCTTTCTACAAGCCCCCCCCCCATTTCTTTTAAAGTGTAACCTGCCTGGACCGCCATTAACAAGGGAAAATGAAACAAAAATGGGCGGAGGCATCGTTGGCAGCGACCCCTTAGTTCGGTTTCCGGGTTTCACCATAGATCGAAGAAATAATGAAAAGAGTTTGTAGGATCAGAATTTGGCCTTTTTCAGATCAGTGACATTTCCAATTCCCACTTAATTGGACTGGCCATGAGAGAGATTACAAAACCGATTCCACTGGCCGAAATGGAGGGGGGGGAAAAAGCTATCGCGAGACAACAACTCCCTGTGGTATTTTTACATAACTCCTCACGACCCGCCCCTAAGACACTTAAACGGGAACCGGAAGTGCAAATGCCTCCCTTTTTCTCTATGGGGGAAGAAGAGGCGGTGCTTTGATGCCGGAGCCATTTCTGTCATGCGGTTTCGATCTAAGATTATAGACGTTGGATGTCTCAATCATTTCAGTCGTGAGTAGAGCGTGTGAAAAAGCCTGCAGCTCAGCTGGAAAGAAAAAAAACACTGGAAAGAGCATATTCAGCTTTGTCCTCTCCTCCGTGGCTTCTTTTACCAACTGTCCGCCAGATTTTTAAATTTTAAGGAGCGGCGCTTCTTTTTCCATCAAAAGAGCGTGCTTCCTCTGAGGATAAAGGGGTCTTCAAGGAAAATACCAAGCCTTCTGCCGGGAATGGAAATAGAAACGTGGCTACTGATTATATGAAATAAAGTGTTTCATTTATTTGGCAGTCCATCTGTTTGTTCCACGCTACTGAGGAGAGTAAATAGGATGATAGATTCATAGCTGCCAACTGAATTGGATTAATTCAAGCAGATACATATTCTTTCCAGTGATTTGCTTCCCAGAGTGTGCTAAGCTCAAATCAAACAAGCCATATGAATACTCGGACAATGTATGTAGTACAGGAAGAATGTCATGTTTTCATTTTGCTGTTGGAGAGGTAAAAATATACAGGGAAAAGAAAAAAGGGGGCTTGTTCATTTACAGGGATACTTCAAAAGTTGCAGCCTATCTGTAATGAATCTATTAATACCATGTTACTCAAAGACTGCCTTCTTTTATTCCTCCATGACTTGAGTGAGAAATAAGAATTGCTTGTTAATTATGTCAATAAAATCAGTTATAAAAATTCAGTCACAATTGCACATGAGTAAACAGATAGTTGAAAAACTATTACAGTGATTAGAACTTGGGCCCCAAAGCTTTTTTGTTAATCTTACAGAAATGATAAGTTAATCTTTTAGTGATGGGATATTACTGGAGTCCGGTAATTTTTAATGCAACTTCCAAACGAATCCTTAATATGCCTATTTGGTAATGAAGTTTCACCCTCTATTTTTGTTCCTGTGACTCAAGATAGTCTATTATACAGAGATATTAAGAGATTATGTTGTAAAATGTACTGTCTTGACAGGTGTGATAAGCACAATTGCCAAATTAGCTAAAACCTGTACCCTGCGGCTTACTTTGGATAAACTTTACTTCATCCTCAGTGACAAAGTGGCAAATGGCGGTGTTAGTATGTGGTGTGAGCTTAACCAGGTAAGAGTTCAATGGCAAAAAATATTAAAAACAGCAAACTATGAAGTGTTGTACAGTATTGTACATAATAAGCAGTTTCTCCTATGTTCCTACAAAATATAAAAAATAGAGATAGAAATAAATGAACAAGAAAGACAGAAGACAAGCAAAAATGCAAGTTGAATTTGAGGTAATTAAAGACCCATAAGAGCTGAAAGATATTCAAGAAGAGCTAGAAAATTGTTATCATAATTTAAGAAGGGATATAGAAGAATAGAGTTTTAAATAGCTTAGCATCTGTCTTAGCGCAATATCATCTAAATAAAGTAAGCAGAGATGAATTGATCCATATTTGATATAGCTGTTTTCTGTCTACAAGTTTCTTGGTATGAATGTAGGTAAAGCAGAGAGGGGGAGATTGCTGGAATCCTAGCCCAGCAATCAAAAGTGATTTCTGATGTGCTTCCTACTGCAAAAGTAATGCAGGTGCTGGGAGGGGCAATATAGTTTCTTTCAACAGATAAAAAACAAAAATGTCAAGGAAACAATTGCTCCACTAATGAGAAAAGATGGCAAGGATGCAATGGGCAGTAGAGAGAAAGCAGAACTACTTAATTCATTCTTTGCATCTGTCTTCTTGCAAAAAGATAATACAGCTCAGCCTATCAAAAACATAACTGTAAAGACAAACTAAGAATACAAATTAAAATAAGGAAGAAAATGGTAAGAGAACACCTGTTTGATCTAGATGAGTTCAAATCAATGGGACCTGAAGGCTTACATCCCAGAGTTCTGAAGGAGTAGCAGATGTGATTTCAGAATCATTGAACCATATTTTACAAAGATTGTGGAGAACTGGGGAACTACCAGAGGACTGGAAAAGAACTGAGGTAGTTCCCACCTTCAAAATAGGAAGAAAAAAATAGGTCCAGGAAACCAGAGACCAATCAGCCTAACATCAATACTTGGGAAGATATGCAACAGATCTGTGAACACCTGGAAGCAAACAAAGTTTTAACCAGAAGTCAACGGGTTTGTCACAAATAGTTCATGCCAAACAAAGATTATTTCATTCTTTGACAAAGTGACTAAATTAATGGACCAGAAAAATGCAGTGGACATAGTATACTTGGATTTCAGTAAGGCATTTGACAAAATAGACCATAACCTACTGCTTGGTAAACTTAAAAAAATGTGGGACAGGCAACATCACCACCTGATGAATTTATAACTGATTGACAGTGCTCAATATGTAGTCCTTAATGGAACAACATCTATATCATGGGTGTCAAACTGCCGGCCCATGGGCCGGATGCGTCACATGGAAGCTACGCCCATCCCAGCTCCGGCAAAGGGAAAAAAGTCATGATATGTTGTGACACGTCATGTGATGTGACGAGTTTGACACTCCTGATCTACATGGAGAGAAATAAGCATTGAGGTATCCCCAGGTTCCATTTTACCCCCAGTACTTTTTCAACATCTTCATAAATGATTTAGATAAGGGAATACAAGGGGAACTCATCAAATTTGCAGATGACGCTTGAATTTGTAGTCATTTTGCTCTTTTATCTTTAATATTTCTATTTAACAGTTCCAACACTAGAATAAATAATAAAGGACACCCCTGTCTTGTACCCTTCTGGATTTCAACTGGTTTTGTAAATCTCTGTTCAACATGATTTAAGCTTTCTGGATTATAGACCCTGTATAAAGCCCAATCCAAAAACCATATTTTCCACTATAAACATAAAGGCCCAGTTCAAACAATCAAAAGCTTTTTCTGCATCCAGAAAGATTAATGCAACTTGTTTTTCGCTACATTGTTGTAAATGTTCAATTATATTCAAAATTACTCTTACATTATCTTTTAATTGTCTTTTAGATAAGAAGCCACACTGGTCTTCATATATATATAGTCCTGTAAAACTTGTTAAATATTAAATTTAATTGACCACTTTTTCCTCCTTTGTTGTACACTATTTTCTTTTTTGTTGTGAGGGGTGAATATGTTTTTGTTTTGTTTCATTTTGTTTTACTCTTTTGTATTTTATTTTCTATGATAAAACAATACATTTAAATTTTAAAAAAATGCAGATGATACTAAACTGGCAGGAATAGCCTACACCCCAGAAGATACTCTCAAGATCCAGATGAATTTTAACAGACTTGAACACTGGGCCCTATCTAATAAAATGAAATTCAACATAGAAAAAAGTAAGGTTTTACACTTAGGCAAAAAACCCCAAATGTGCAGGTACAGATTAGGTGAAACTTAGCTCAATAGCAATAACTGAGAGGGATCCTGGAGTTCTAATGGATAATCACTTAAATAGCAATGTGTGGTAGCAGCCAACACAATCCTAAGTTACATTAATGGAGGGATAGAATTGAGATCACATGAACCCCTTTATAAAGTCTCAGTAAGACCACACTTAGAATAGTGCACCCAGTTTTGGCCACCATATTATAAAAAAGGTGTAGAGTGGAAAGAATGCAGAAAAGAGCAACAAAGATGACTGGGGGGCTGGAGGCTAAAACATGAAGGATTACAGGAATTGAGTATCTAGTCTAGTGAAAAGATGGACTAGGGGTGACATGATAGCAGTGTTCCAATATTTGAGGGGTTGCCAAAAAGAAGAGGGGGTAAACCTATTTTCCAAAGCACTAAAAAGCAAGACAAGAAACAATGGATGGAAACTAATCAAGGAGAAAACCAACCTAGAGCTAAGGAGAAATTTCGTGACACTGAGAACAACCAGTGGAATGGCTTGCCTTTAGAAGTTATAGGTCAGTGGTGGTGAACTTTTTAGAGACCGAGTGCCCAAACTGCAACCCAAAACCCACAATGTATCGTCGGGTGCTGGGTGGGCGTGGCCCACTGCGTGGGCATGGCTACAGTGGGTAGGGGCTGTGCTGGGATTGGGGCTCGTGCTTTCTGCCCGCCTGCAGATGCCGCGGCTCTGCTTGCCTGGCAGGGGACACACATGGGGCTGCTGCCTCGCTTGCTGTGTTGGGGCTAGGCTGAACTGGGCTGGGCGTGGAGCCTCCTCGCCGCTTCTTCCCCTGTGGACATCGGGAGCGCCCACCCCACCTATCCCTCGCCCCAGGGCAGCTGCTGCTGTCCGGCGCTCTCCAGCCTATCACTGACCAGCCGAGCGCTCCCACTCCCAGGCTGGGGCTGGTCAGATTTCCCCCATGGGCAGCGCTGCACCTGTCCCCAGCCAGCCCTCCTCCATCCTCCTCCTCCTGCAGGCAGACTGCGGTTTACCAAGCCGGGCGGCGCCTCACCGCATGTGTCCTCAGGCGGAGGAGCCGGGCAGCCGCGGCTCTCGCTCCCCTCCAACATCCATCTGCCCGAGGCCCGAGCTCGGCGCACCTGGCTGGCTGGCAACAGGCTGGAGAGTACGGGACGGCGGTAGCAGCCCCAGGATGAGGGGTAGGCAGGGTGAGCGCTCCTGATGTCTGCAGGAGGAGAAGCAGCATGGAGGCTCCCCGCCCAGTCCAGCCCAGCGCCGGAAAGCGAGGTAGCAGCCCCATGTGCATCGGATCCAACCCTCGCAGAGTGCCCTTCTCCCATTGCCCCGACCCGTTTCCTTACCTCCGCCTGGCTTGTTCCGTGGCCTCACGGCAGCAGCATTGGGCAGGAGACAACAAACGGGGCTTACTGAGGATTGAGTTGTGTTTGCTGCCGCCTTCGCTGCTCTTGGAGCTGGCAATCAGCAGGGCCCCGTCACAGGAGGACTTGGTGCCATCGTCTAGCCCTACGAAGGTCACCTCACCCAAGCTGCCCGGATACATGCCCCCATTGTGTGACTTCTGTAGCGGCAATGGCATGGAGGCCGATCGCGGGCTCAGAGAGTGTGAGCGGAGCAGTCATGCAGGGCAGAGATGCTGCCTGGGGCCGGAATGGAGCCGCGAGGGACTGTGGAGTGCCGGCGCCAGCACGGAGGCTAATCGCAGGAGTGAGCAGGACAGTCGCGCAAGGCACAGATGCCTGGGGCCGGAGTGGGGCAGCGGCATAGCAGCCGCAGAGCTGGGTGGGGCGGCGGCAGCAGCGACGGCTGGGTCGTTTTGGTCAAAGCAGAGGCAGCAGCGCGGAAGAGTCGAGGAATGGCACCCACAATCTGCCTGGCCTCCGCTCCGCCTGCTTTGCGCAGCTCCTGGGCCCCCTGCACCCGCCGTTAACTCTCCCGCCACCCTGCAGGGTAAGTTTGCTGCCCCTGCCCAGATGCCCTCACCTCCCCTAAGCATTTTTTTTTACTAACTTGCCTTTCAGCTGCATCCCGTTTCTCCATTCACTTATCAGCCTTCACTGAATTTTTTTATCCCACAAACACATAGCAAAGGCTGAGAAGTGAATGGAGAAATGGAATGCAGTTGAAAGGCAGGTTAGTAAACAAATCCTTGGGGGAGGCGAGGGCATCCAGGCAGGGTCGGCAACCTTACCCTGCACGGCTTCGGCAGGTGTCTGACGGGGAGGGAAGCAACTAGGCCCCGCCCCACCCCTCACATGGAACGCCCTGCTCCCGCCGCTCCCCCCATCCCCACCCAGCATGTTTTTTCCAGCTCTGACACGTCACTTCCTCCACCGCTATGTGGGACTGAAAATAAAGTTCAACCAAGCAATTCCAACTTTGTGAGATCTTTTCCCCACAAGAAGTTAAAATTGATTGAACCTTTTTTTTTTTTGCACACAGTGGCAGAGGCCTAGGACTGGGGCAATGGCGCACATGCCCACAGAGAGGGCTCTGCGTGCCACCTGTGGCACATGTGCCATAGGTTCGCCACCACGGTTATAGGTGCTACATCGCTGGAGACTTTTAAGAAGAGACTGGACTGTCACTTATCTGGAGTGGTATAGGGCCTTCTCCTTTAGCAGGAGGTTTGGCTAAAAGACCTCTAAGACCCTTTCCAACTCTGTATTATTTTATTTGGAGAGACAGAACAACTGCTATGTGATAGTAACAAATTCTGAGTCCGTAGCAGTAAATCATGCAAGCAATAATAACATAATGTAGGTTGAATTTAAAGAGCTTTCTTCTCCCATTCTTAATTGTCTCCAGATGGTAGCATTTTTTGTCACTGCAGGTTAGCAGCATATCTGCAGAAAATTCAAAGGGGAGTTGATGGTCAGTTGCTTGCATTATATACATTTCTGATCTAGAGATTTATTTAATCTGTGCATCTTCCAGCAAAGTAGAGTTGAACATTTTATATATTTAGGGTTGAATAAAATATATAAATTATACTTCCTTTTTATTCAAACTGAAGACTTCATTTGAAAAAAAAGCTTCTATTAAACTATAGAAATAATTACAGTCAGGATATATAATATTTTGTTGTGAAACTTTATTGTGAGTTGGAAGATGTTAAATGAAAATGTTAATGCTTTTTTCATGTGTATTTTTTGTTTAATTAGCTATTATATGCTGTGGGTTGTTACTATCTGGTTTGTAGATGTATGTAAGTTAATGCTTTTGACCATGCTGAACTTGTTTTATAGTTCATACTAAGTACATTCATGACTATAGCAGCTACTTTACTTATATATACTTAACCTATGAGAGCAAAAGAAAAACCAATACCATACAAAATAATTTTAAATGAAGCCCAATATTAATAGCACTAGCCTTATCAGCATCTCTGCTTTCTAAAATTGTTCTAGATAAACTTCTTTGATGAATTCCAGATGGAGGGTGTCTCTGCAGAAAATAACGAAATTTATTTAGAACTGGCACCTGAAAACCTTTCCAGGGCTTTTAAAACTGCCCAAAATGCCAAGACAGTGAAAATCAAATTGACTAATAAGCAGTGTCCTTGTCTTACAGTAGCCATGGAGCTGGTGAGTAGAGAAGTATTCTTAGTCTAATGTCAGTCTTATCAAAGGAGAATTGCAATGTATTCAAGTGTTTGGCCATTAATAAGATGTACAGTTGTGTAAGTGCTCATGACACAGTAACTTCTTTCAGCATAACTTTTACACAGGGAGTCTTCATATTGTTGATATAGTTATTCTTGTTATTGTGGCATCTTAGCTCTTTTGAAGTCCCCAGGTTCACTATATCAGTGCTTTTCCACCAGTGGTATGGGTACCACCTGTGGTACATTGGCACCTGGCAGGTGGTACGCGACCATCCTAGAAAAGTGGTAGCAGGGGAGGGGAATGAGCTGAACCGGTGGCAGCATCCCACAAGCCTGAGCGAGAGATGGTTGGAGCTGCAGGGCTATCAGGGTTCAGCGGAAGCACTAGGATCAGCGCCGGGCGCCAGCTGGAGCTCGGCGCTGAGCTCGGCGCTGATCCTGGCGCTTCTGAGCCCAGAAGAAGCACCGATCAGCTAGAATGTTGCAGCATCTCCAGGGTCTTGTGACTTACATTCAGATTCTTGGCAACTGATTCATATTTATGATGGTCACAGTGTCCCAGGGTCATGTGAAGTGACCAAAACCTGCTGCAACCACCCCCACCCCACCCCCACTGCCAATCCTCAACAGAAATGCTCACAACAATGAAAACCTTGGACAGGAGGAAGAGCGTGGCCGGGTGGGCAGGCAGGTGTCTTGCTCGGCTGTGGCTTGGGGGGCACTTTTTTCAGTGCCATTGTAACTTTGAACAGTCACCAAGCGAACTGTTGTAAGTCAAGGACTACCTATACTTTATCACTTTTTTCCTTTTTTTTTGTTTCATCAAGTTTTTGACACCTTGCTAGGCGACTGGTGGTACTCGGATGTTGCCATATCCTAAAAGTGGTACAATGGGTGAAAAGGTTGAAAAGCCCTGCACTATATACTGTAGTATCAAAGTGAAAGGAAAATAATAACTTTTAGTTCAGCTAAATTATGGTACTAATACTTTGTTACCTCTGAATTAGGAATAGTTTAGGCTTTTTACAGTTCACAGAAACCAGATAAAAAATGACAACATACTCAAGGGAAATCTATTGCTACTTATTTGTGCATGTTTTAATTTATTAAACAACAGAGATATGCATGTGAACATTCGGGCTATGAAGAAGTGAATAGTGGGTTAAAAGCACATTTGTGTGTCCTGGACCATGGTCTGTACTACCTCCATGATGGACCTTTGGCAAGGGATGGGCTTTACCTCACAAAAACTGGGAAGAATGTTTTCGGAAAACCCCTAGCTCAACTTATCAGGAGGGCTTTAAACTAAAACTGAGGGGGGGAGAGTGACCAATCTTTAGGATCTCCAGGACCTAATTACAAGCAAAAATCCCTAGAAAACAAAACAAATAATGAAGTAAGGAGGGATGGGATGGAAGACAAACTCAAACACCAAATAGGAGACATAGGAAGCGTGCCTATATACAAATGCACAAAGTTTGGGGAACAAACCGGGTGAACTAGGATTATTAATACATGAAGGTAGATATGAAATAATTTGAATTACCAAAACTTGGTAGGATAAAACCCATTAGTGGAACATACTGATAGAAGGATACAAACAGTTAAAAAAAAACAGATCCCATAAAAGAGGAGGTAGAGTTGCACTATATGTGAAAGACCACTATATTTGTACAGAAATGCACAAGACCAAAGACGAAAACCTAGAATGCATATGGGTCAATATAAAAGAAAAAAAGAATGACATTGCCATAGGTGTATACTACAGGCTACCCAACCAAGCAGAAAAAATAGATGTACTTTTTGCTAACCAATTAACAAATATATGTAGGAATCAATAGTAATGGGAGACTTCAATTACACTGACATCAACTGGAAGACTAATTCTGCACCAAGTGAGAAATCAAATAGATTCCTGACCAATCTAGCTGACAAGTTTGTTGTCCAAAAGATAGCAGAGGGAATTAGAGGGACAATCATATGAGACCTAATTCTCACAAACAGAGAAGAAGTGACAGAGGGAGTTGAAACTGCAGGAAACTTGGGTGAGAGTGACCATGTCATACTAGAATTCAATATAATGCAAACACAAACAATAGAACATAATGATATCAGAGTCTTACATTTTAAAAGTGCTGATTTTAACAGATGATTAGGGATCTGGAGGCTAAAATATATGAAGAATGGTTAGAGCAGACATGTCAAACACAAGGCCCGGGGGCCGGATGCGGCCCGTGAAGTGGTTTCATGTGGCTCGCGAAGCCATCCTGGAAACAGTGAGGGAACGGCCGGGAGCCAATGTACAATTTTGTGGTGGCCATCTATGCTGAAACACATTCAGTCTTAGCTCCACAAGGCTGTCTGGAAACAGTGAGGAACCAGCCCCTGCCGCGTCGGCCCCACCCCCTGGGTGCATGCTGGGGAGGTGTCACTCTTTGTGAGCAATGAAGAAATGCACCATCGCCTGGAAGTGGCCAGCAAATGGCCCTCACCTACTTCACATATCCGGCTTGATGGGCTCTGGGGGAGGGGTTTGGGCAGGCAGCGGGGCGCTCTCCTCACAGCACCGAGAGGCTGAGCCAGGTGGCGCAGATCCAAAAAGAAACGCAAGTCTGCCCAGCTCCCAGCCTGCCCGGTTTCAGCATGCAGCGGGGTGCTCTCCTCACAACGCCAAGAGCTGAGCTGGGTGGCGCGAATCTGATGAGAAGTGCAATGCTGCCTAGCCCCCAGCCTGCCAAGTTTCAGCAGGCAGCAAGGTGCAAAGTTGGCGAGCTTCGCACCGCCCGACTCAATCTCTCGGCGCTGTGAGGAGAGCACCATGCTGCCTGCCGAAACCACGCCCACCCAGTAGGCCATACCCACTCCATCCACGCCCACCCAGTTGGCCGCACCCACCCTCGTCACACCCACCCGGCCCCCCGAGGGCAACTGCAATGCTGATGCGGCCCTCAATGAAATTGAGTTTGACACCCCTATGTTACAGGAACTGGGTATGGCTAATTTAGCGAAGAGAAGGACCAGGGGAGACATGTTAGCAGTGTTCCAATATTTGAGGGGCTGTGGCAGAAAGGAGGGGTTCAGCCTATTTTTCAAAGCACCTGAGGGTCAGACAAGGAATAAAGGATGGAAACTGATCAAGGAGAGATTCAACCTAGAAATGAGAAATTTTCTGACAGAACAATCAACCAGTGGAACAGTTTTCCTTCAGATGTTTTAGGGGTTTCATCACTGGAAGCTTTTAAGAACAGACTGGACTGCCATCATCTGAAATGGTATAGAATCTCTGCTTGGGTGGTGGGCTGGACTAGATGACCTGCAAGGTTCCTTCCAACTCTTGTTATTCTGATTCTGATTCCAGGTAGCAATCATTCCAAATTTGATTTCCAGGACTTTGAAAGTTGATTTCTTGGAAATTTGGCTGAAAGATTTGTCTAGACTTCTGGCCCAAGCAAACTTTCAGAAGGAAACGATTGATTAAGGGTGACCATGTTTCATTGTAACTATTAACATATGATTGGAGAGAAGAGATAACTTTATGGCCAATTTTGATAGGCTTGAAATCATGGTGTTACTTGCAGTTATGAAGGAGTTGCTTACTGATGTAAAATAGATATGGATGATTGCAGTGAATTATGATAATTCTTTAAATAGCCAAAAATTACTCTTTTGGTCATGTGAAGTTTCTTTCTTCTAGTCTTCCTTGTCAACCAGTAGCCGCTTTGTGACTCATGATATTCCTGTAAGGGTTATCCCCAGAAAGTTGTGGAATGACTTCAGAGAACCCAGTGTGCCCAACTTCGATGTAAGTAACTTGATTTTCAGAGAATTGAAGCTAGCTTTTAAAAATACTGTTTTATTTGGTTTCTTCTCAAATTTAAGCGTTACTGCAGCAAATTTCTTATGATTTGATACCAGTGAACATTTTTATCTGGACTCTTTCCAATACTTTGTGTCATTTTCATATTGATTTTTATGCATTGGTTCTGTGCATCAGATTATAGAGGTACTTCCAAATGTAAAACTGTAATACAAACCAAGGTTTAATTCCACAAAACATTACAGGTGACACTGAAGAGTAGCTTGAAATCATAAACAAAATTAATCATAGTCAAGATCATGACCAAAGGACAAAACAAAAATATCTCACATAGCATAGAAACTACATTTCTTAAGTTCAAGATTCCCTACCACAAGCCAATTCTCAGACATGGGCTATAGCAGTGGCTTTCAATCTTCCTAATGCCGCGACCCTTTAATACATTTCCTCATGTTGTGGTGACCCCCAACCCCCCATCCAGCTGGCCAGGGAGGGGGGCAGGAAGGCTGTTCCACCGGCTCCGCCCAGCCTGGTTGGAGAAGCGCCCAGGCGGGGAGAGGGAGAGAGAGAGAGAGAGAGAGAGAGAGAGAGAGAGAGAGAGAGAGAGAGAGAGCCAAGAGGGTGACAGCGCTGGCAGAGCTTAGTTCAGCCTCCTCCGCGGAAAGGACCGCGAAGCAGCGCGGCCTCCCTTAGGACGGGTAGGCAACCCAAAACACTCAAAGAGCCATTTGGACACGTTTCCCACCGAAAACAAAACACTGGGAGCCGCAAAACCCTTTTAATATCTAAAATGAAGATAACACTGCAGATATCCTTTTTTACCTTTAATGTATGTATGTATGTATGTATGTATGTATGTATGTATGTATCTGTGTTTGTGTGTGTATATATAAAATAAAGGTAAACAAGGATACTGTATATGCAGTGTTATCTTCATTTTAGATGTCAAAACGGTCTCTCTCTGTCTCTCTTTCCTCTCTTTCCTTTCTCTTTCCTCTCTCTCTTTCCTCTCTTTTTTCTCTTTCCTCTCCCTCTCTCTCTCTTTCCTCTTTCTCTCTCTTTCCTCTCCCCTTCTTTCTCTTTCCTCTTTCTCTTTCCTCTCTTTTTTCTCTTTCCTCTGTCTTTCTCTGTTTCCTCCCTCTTTCTCTTTCTCTCTCTTTCCTCTCTCTTTTCCTATGTTTCTCTCTCTTTCCTCTCTCTCTTTCTCTCTCTCTCTTATGGCTGCATCGTCGGGGGTCCCTGATGCCCCTGGCCTGGCCGCCGCCGCTGCCAGGACTCTGCGCTGCCCGGCCTCATCCTCCGCCCATCGATGGAGTCGCAGTGGGGCCAGCGCCCGCCTGAGCTGCCTGGGGGGCAGCAGGAGGAAGAAGGAGAGGAGGGTGAGGAAGCAGCTGCCCCAGATGGGACTCCGTGCTGCCTGGCCTCGCCCTCTGCCCATTAATGGAGCCGCGGTGGGGGCTGGTGCCGCGCGGCCCCTGCCAGCCCCTCCGCCAGCCCAGCTGCTCCCCCCCAGGTACCCCTCTTGCCCCGGCACTTGCCTGAGACATCTGAGGGGCACCAGGAGGAAGAAGGAGAGGAGGAGGGTGAGGAAACAGCTGCCACCACCCCAGCCGGGACTTCGCGCTGCCCGGCCTCGCCCTCCGTCCATCTGATGGAGCCGCGGTGGGGGCTGGTGCCACGCGGCCCCTGCCAGCCCTTCTGCCAGCTCGGCTGCTCCCCCCCAGGCACCCCTCCTGTCCCGGCGCCCACTCGAGCCACCTGGGGGGCAGCAGGAGGAAGAAGGGGAGGAGGAAGAGGAGGTTAGGTTAGGTTAGGTTAATTTAATTTGTATACCGCCCTTCTCCCGTAGGACTCAGGGCGGTTCACAGCATATTAAAAACACAAATACAATATACAAGATACAAAAAATCATACAAAAATACACAAAATAACCCCACTAAAACCTAATTAAAAGCCAAATATTGATTGCTGTATTCCCATTAAAATTACTTTT